AATTGCAAACTATACTGCACGCCCTATGAGAACTGAAAAATTGATGAGCATCTCGTGAGCTTTCGTGGAAAATGTCCATTCCGAATTTACATGGTGAGCAAACCTAATACCTAAATATGAAATGAAAGAAATAATGATAAATGATTCGAAGACATTTTATATACTGAATGTCATTCCATACGTTGGAAAAGTTGATGTTGAGAATAATGAGTCAGTTCCTACATATTATATCAAAAAACTTTTCGAACAAATAACTGGTTCACGTCAATACCTCTAAGCGAACAAATGTTGGAACGGTATCAGCTAATAATCCTTGGAACGTTGCGAAAAAATAAACAGGAAATACCTCCGAAGTTTACACAAAAAACAGAGGTAGGCACATCCATATTTGCTTTCGACAGAAACAAAAGGCTAGTTTCGTACACTCCAAAGGAAAATAAAGTGTTACTACTTTTATCAACTTTGCATCCTGATTCATCACATAATATCTTGACCGGAAAACCAAACCTGTACATTCCTACAATGAAACAAAGGGTGGCACAGACAGCTTTGATTAGATGTGCCACTCTTACACGACTTCCCGTAAAAATAGATGGAATGGAATGGAAAGATGACCGAAAACAGGATAGAAAAACATTTTTAAAATAACTTTCAACTGTATTAATTGAACCGCACTTAAGGGAAAGACTACAAGTTACCAATTCGCTAACAATCCTACGTGTAAAAATTAGCGAAATATTAGGACTTAATGTAACAACATTTATGTTTTATTTTAGTTTAAAGGGTTTTTAAGAGACAAGTTTTATTTCACTGGAATTTTGTTTAATTTTGTTGGCCATTGTTAGTTTATGTTTTTTCACGTTTATCAGATCTATCAGATCGATGAGAAATGTTTTTTTTTAATAAACATATTTTGAAAATAAGGTATTGTTGTTTGTTGTTTTGTACTACATACCACAGAAAAAATAAATACATAACATTTATTACAAAAAAAAACAATTAGTGTTTTCGAGACCCCACTGCGCAGTCTACGTTAGATGAACGAACTGTGCTGTTCTAGGGTTAATATTGTAGTGTCACAATATAGCTAGACATACAAGTATTTTTTTAAATAAAATTGAAAATGTATGTAAAAAACCATGATGCCTCAAAACGTCACGTGCACTAGCTTAGCGAACTGAGACTCCAGTGCTCATGTTGTGTCCGCACGCAAGTCCGAAGGCACTACCAAAAAACTTTTAAATATTTCTATGGAAATCCGAAAAGCAAGTACATACCAACCGCAAACATAGCAGGTTTGTTGGGACAGGTTACACAACAATAAGCAGTTTCTTTTCGAATTTTCTTTTTGTAGCACATTACGCAACGCCCATGTGCAACTTTATTTATTTGTTTGTCGGAGCATTGCTCTTCAAGATATGTTCTGTGATGCTTCGAGGAGAAAGCAATTCTCGAGAAATCCTTGATGTGGTTATCATCTCTCATATAACATAGTATGGTGTCGAAAATCATACAGCGACATTCGTGTATTGCTGCTGTATTTTTTGAAAACAAAGTATGCGTTTATCAACAGCATGTGGTGAATATATCGCCTAAAGCCGTCATTCTTGATGACAGTGCTATGACATGCTATTACATGACAGTAGTAACGGTATGACTCTTTGCCATTGTTAATATTTCATCTTTATTTGTTCTTCAGATCTGCCCCTTATAAAAAAAATAGTTAATTTCTTATTTTCCCTTGTGCACGCTCCTTTTCAAAACTGTCGTGTCCTTATTTTGCTCTATTGCTTGTTTAGTTTTTTCTACTTGGCAGTTTCTTGTGCCTTTCCTTATTGCATTTGTGATTGTTTTATTTATTTTATTTACCGCTTCTTTGCGTATACTCTTATCTACTTTCATATATCGTCTTAGTTCTATAAATGTTTTGGTAGGTTGCTTTAGTTTTTCATCCTTTTTGTTTGTTAAACAATATTTAGTTTGAGCCTGATGCATTGTGTTGACTATTTGTTTATTTAATATCCTATTGATGTCTGTTGTTGTTGTGTCTTTCAATAAATTATCAATATAGTTTTCGAACTCCTGAATATTAGTTGGTTGTGTCCATTTATTTGATTGTTTCTTGTTTATCTTTTTGAGTCCTTCTTTTTCGATCGATATCGTTATTTTCGCTCGAATAACCAATGATCACTGCTTGTACTAATCTGGTTTAACACATTTATGTCTATAACTAGTTCTTCTTTTGTTTGTTAAAAAATAGTCGATTTCGTTCATTGTATGTAAATCGGGGCTTTTCTATGTCCATCTTCTGTGTTTTTCTTCTTAAAGAAGCTGTTCATTTGAGAGATATTGTTTCCAAAAAGAAAGTTAATTTTTCCAATATTATTTCAGGGGGTCTTCCTTAGTGCCTATTTTGACTTTGAAATCGCCACCTATTATTAAGAAGAGCCCAGGATTTTCCTTGATTGCACAGGATATTTGATAGTAGAATATTTGAACTTCTTCTGGTTGTCCTGTAGCAGGGATGTACACTTGAATGATCTTTAGGATATGTCTTAGGCTTATTTTGATAGCTAGTTTAAATAGACCGCCTTTATTATCGAAATTTGGTTTATTGACACAATTCTGTTGGCAATTCTCTTACATGTATATAAAAAAACCGACACCTCCGACTGTCGATTTTCCTGTTGCTTTGTAATAAATAGCTTGATAGGAGTACGATAAGACTCTTTTAAGTAGAAGAAGTAAGTAGGGGAAGACCTAAGAAGACCTGACCTTCTATCTCTTAAGTATTCTTCCAACAATATTCTGTTGAATTTTACTAATCGTCTTAGACAACCCATATCGGAGTTAGATAAGATTTACAGGGAGACGGTATCGTTTTTAAAAACCCACCGTAATCTTCTCGTTCTAACTAGTGACAAAGATAATGCCACTGTACCCATGGATAGAGATCAATATCTTAGTCGTAGTCAATCGTTATTAGATGATGATAGGTACTATCAACCTCTCTCTACCAACCCTTATTCAAAGTTCACTAATAAAATAATAAATTCATTACTCACCTAAAAAACTTTAAGATCATTGATCAACCCCTTGCAAAATCTTGCACTACCGAAAATACATAAGCCCACATTAAGCATGAAGTCCATTGTTTCTTCAATTAATTCTTGTCAAAATCTTGTCAAAACTATAATAATGATTATAGTATTGCAGATTCTTTTTATTTTAGTGAATTTATCAATGACTTTAAATTTCCACAAGGTTATATTTTAGTGATTTTTGATGTGGTATCTCTTTTCACCAATTTACCTCTAGCTAGTGCCATTACTTCCCTAAGTAATCACTGGAACTCTATCCAACCAAACTGTCCTGTAACCTGGGATGTATTTACAGAACTGTTGCAATTAATATTTGACACCAATTTTTTAGTCTTTGATAATAAATATTATCTACAAATTTTTGGAACATCTATGGGTTCCTCAATCTCTTCCATCCCAGTTAACTTTGTACTTGGTGATTTAGTGTCTGACCGTTTGAGTCTTTAGAATTTCCAAGTCCCTTTTATAAAGCGGTATGTTGATTACCTATTACTAGATTTACCTCAGACAAGATACAGGCCACATAATCTTTGTTCAATGGTTTTGATCCTCACTTACAGTTCCCTGTTAAACTTGAGGACCTCACTACTAATAGTATTCCCTTCTTAGACATGCGTGTCATTAGAATGGGAGACAATACTTTAATTACAAGTTGGTATAGGAATCCAATGGCCTCTAATAGGTTTCTCAACTACCACTCTTGTCATTTTTCAAATATAAACTAAACCTTATCAAAGCTTTAAGCAAAGGACATCCCTTTTACTGCTCAGAAACATATTGGTTGAGAATTCCTACCCATCTTTCCTTATTAATAAATACCTACATTAGCAGAGTTATGGTTCCTCCTTAAATGACATACTCAATAGTGACCAACTCAGAGCAATATCAAACAATACTATCAATAACACTGTTCTGCCTACTACTGTACTTGGGACTCCAATTACTCATTACTTCTCTTTACTATATTTTGCTCATGATACTAAAAAATTCATTAAACTGTATAAACACAATAACATTCCTGTTAAAATTCCTGTTAAGAATGCCAAGTCGGTCAAAAATTTGTTTTCTAAAACCAAAATACCCTTGTCCATTTTGAAACAAGTTAACGTCATCTATCATTTACCTTGTGCTGTGACTCGTGTTATATCGGTCAGATAGGGAGATCACAGCAAGAGCACAAGTATGCTTAGATAGGTTAATATCACTGCGGTGTGTCGTAAGACGCCGCCTCAGTGATATTATCCTATCACATAGTATCACCTATGATAGTAACAAATCACAAGATGGACTTTAGGATTCTTAGCAACGAACGCAATCTAGTGAAAAGGCAATTTTTGGAAATGTGTTCGTTACTAAAACTCTCTGAATAAGAGAACGGACATTAGTAACCTGAGCCAAATTTATCATACATTAATATTGCAGAATTACAACTTAACGATTCAATGGTTCAATGTCTCAAGCTTTTTTACATTTTTATCTTTGACCGAAAATTCACCACTTTTCGAGTGATGCTTGATATATATATATATATATATATATATAATATATATATATATATATATAATAAGGAAAAAATATCAAAACAGTGAAAGATCAAAAATTCGCAACAAACATATACACAGACGTACACAAATCAGAGAAACCAAAACGGTTTGATGAATAATAAACTTTACAATTTCATAATATCACCAAAGAAGAAATGTTGGTATGTCTAAAGCAATAATTGCACTGTAAAAATGAATATTTCAAACAATAAATACAATTTGTACTTTCCGCCTGAACTCCGATACTGCATATTTCTCAAGTGCAATACGCCATTGTCAGATATGGGTTAGCTATTTCTTAATTACACTTAATCACTACGTCAGAGTATCTCAAATTGAAGATATCATTATAATAATGAGCGAAGGAATGAAGGAAGCATTAGAAAGGCGAGGAACGTTCATGTATAGCGGATCATTCATGGGTAAATAACGTTTAAATGTAATTAGAGTAGGTACCTACAAAGCTACATACCGGATGGCAAATAACATGCAAATGAATGGTTTTAACATTGAGATCTGGCATGTTTGACTGACGTATTTCTTTTTGTTGTAAACTAGTTTACTTAATATTAATTAGTATACATTTTACTAACTGTGAACATAAAGTTATGAGATACGTTATACTCATACTCTATTCTATAAATATAATATAAAAAAACATTATAGCTGCCCTTAGTTTCAATACAGAATTTACTTTTTGTTTAATAGTTATTTATTGTACAAGACGATAAAATTGTACTTTATCTTCGAGAGCGTTTTTTAGCGTCGAGACGTCGAGAATAAGCCACAATTAAAAATAAAAATACGTTTATTGACGTTTCAATTTCCACTTCGGAAATCGTTCTCAAAATACAATTTTGTATTGTATTATATACCCTTCGGTAGGTAAAAACCGTTACCTGTTAAGTAGGACATGGTGAAAATCTATATGGTAATGCTTTACCATAGTCTCACCATTCTTTACTCTGCTTATAAACAGAGCAAGGTTCCAATTTTTGTCATAATGTAACATGAGTTTACCTTTATTGTGGTACTCTGATCTAAGCTCCACTTATACCCTCGTCTTTCTCTTAGCTTGCCTTCGTACAAAAGCCGGGTATGCTCCGAAGCATCTTCATCTCCCTTTGACAACGCACAGTCGCACACATACGTCAGTCTCTTCTTCTTGCCAATCCGTTTGAGGTAGGAGATAAAATTCATTTATTACTTTCTCTCTCTCGCGTCGTTACTTCTTTTCCCTGTATTCTTTTTTATCTCCAATTATTTGTCTTTTTCTAGGCCATGAAATCTATCGGTAGTACCCCGGCCAAGATTATCACAGCACAGTACAGTACAGTAACTGTTACAAACGTTGATGAGTATCTTTCTCTGGATCTGGATTGGATATTCTCTACGAAGAGTTGCCAGTTAGCACATTGGGCATTTAGAATTTAACATTGAAACCCATCATCTATTCGTTAACTTCAATGCCGCATACTCGTGTCAAGAGAACTTCCTCTTCAAACCTGATCCCCCGGATGGAGTGTAGTGGTCATTGTGATGTCATGTATTGGTAGTCTCCAAAGATCTCTGTCTCTGTTCATTTATTTTAGCCTACGCATAGGTATTTTGCATATTAATATAATTAATCGATCCATCTTAGGAATCTTCCTTGTGATCTTCGGTCTTTAACCTTTTCTTGGATAATAAGTCTTTCCATGTTTTCTGTACCTGCTCTCATAACATGTCCAAAGTATTTTAATTTGCTGACTTTTAGCTCATTTAAAATGCAATTATTTGCATTCACATCTACGTTTTATTTCTTCCTGTAGTGACTCTGTATTTGTGATTAATGATCCCAGATGTAAATATGAGCTCACAACCTCAAACCGATCAATTGTGGTTATGTTTGGATGATTGTTATATAGTCTATCGCTATTATGATCTTTGTCTTTGATATGTTTAACTGCAGATCAAATATTTGACTTTTGTTTTCAATCAGTGGTATGAGATCAATTAATTCTTCTTGACTATTTTCAAACAGTGCTGTGTCGTCTGCAAAACGAAGGTTGTTTATTTTTCGGCCATTGATTGAGATGACCTTTCCCTATCCTTCAACCGCTCTTCTTATAATATGCTTTCCATATATATTAAATAATTGTGCAGACAGTATACATCCTTGTCTGACACCTTATTCTGAATGGAATTTGTTTGAGAGTGTGTCAAGTACTTTAACTGTTCCAGTAGTGTGTTCGTATAGTTTAGTTATAAGCGAAATTAAGTGCTGTGGTATGTCTACTTCTTTTAGTATTTGCCATAAGTGTTACCATTTGACACTGTCGAATGCTTTGCGATAATCTATAAAACAAATGTGTAATCAGATGTTGAATTCTCTAGATTTTTTTGGTATTGTCTTATGTTCAGAAGATGTTCTCGAGTACGTCTACCTTTGGTAAATTCAGTTTGCTCTTGTTGTATTTCTCTGTGTAGGAAAGTTTTCATTCTCTCATCTATGTATAGCATTATTTTGCTGGCATGTAGGATAAGAGAGATGGTTCTATAGTTGTCGCATTTATGGAAGCTACCCTTTTTATGTATTGTTGTTATTGTAGATTTTGTCCATTCGCCAGGCCATTGCGTGGAATGCCATATTTTGTTACAGAGCAAGTGAAGCAATTTTATTTCGCTTTCTTTTGTAGCTTTGAGCATTTCTGCTGTTATCATATCTGGTCCTGGTGCTTTGTTATACTTAGTTTACGGATCGCCAGTCTTATTTCATTCTGTTCCTGGTGTTGATCATCCCGGCAATGTAATCTTCATGTCTCTGCTATATCTTTTCTGTTGGTTCTCAGGTTTCTGAATATTGTTGTAAAGCTATTTTCTTGGCATCTTACAGCAATTACTATTTTAATTGGGAATAAGCCACAATTTAAGTTTAAAATAAGTTTAATTTAAGTTTATTGACGTTTCAATTTCCACTTCGTTCTCCAAATCGTTCTCAAAATACAAAACATTAATAAATTAAACAATTTTTGTTTTTTGTTACTTGATGAAAAAAATTCTTCTAATATTTTAATTTTATCTTACTCATTTATATTGACAATTCAGACATATATTATACATTTTAAATTAGACGACTTTAAAATGATATTGCCACTATTACTGAGTTGCATTCCTGGGACGACTTTATTGTAAGATAGTTCATTCGATTACATGAAATTATCTTTAACTTGTAAATATCCGTCAGGAAACAAATATATGGTGGAGATATGTAGATGATGTATTCTCAATATGGCCTCATGGATCAGAGTTGTTTGATACATTTCTGAATGATATAAACCATAAAGAAGAGACAATAACATTTACCATGCAAAAGGAATATAAAAACACACTACCTTTCGGATGTTTTAATCTCTAAGAACGATACTGGATATGAGACTCAGGTGTATAGAAAACGGACACATACCAACAGATAACTAAATTACAAATCAAATCACAATATTAAAAAGGGAATCATTAAATCCTTATACGATAGAACTAAAATTACTTGTTCTAACGAAAATTCATTCTTATTTGTTAAGATCTGTTTTATTAAAAAATTGATTATCCTTTATCGTTTATAAATAAGAGAATTTTCAACAATCGACCGAACGGAACAAAACAACTTAGAACAATATCCTACAGTATACACAAGGAATAATACGAGGAAAATAATAATACCATACATAAAATAATTATCATAAAAACTTTAAAAGATAGGAAATAAATTAAAAATTTCAACGACATTCAAAACAACAAATACATTGAGATCTATTTTATTTAAAACTAAACCTAACAATGAACAAAAAAGAACAAAGAATTGTATTTATATAATACCTTGTGAAAGCGATCATTTTTATTTAGGTAAAACATTAAGACCATTCAATGTTAGAATAAGTGAACATCAATCTTATAATAAAAATATAGAATTTTTTGATAGATCTTAAGTTAGCCCAGTGGGCATAACTAGAAAGTACTAGGCCCTGATCACTTTCTTTCCTTCCTTATAACTCTAAACAACAAATATATAAATATAAGTAAATACGACAAATACATAGATACACTAAATATTTTATATGCAATAGATGTTTTTTCGTAAAGTGTCATCATAAACTTTGGATATTAATTGTACATGCGGAAAAGAGAAAAACAAGTTATTAAGCCACAGACTTTTATGAGTTAATAAAGTCTCTGAAGGCATTATAATTCAGACGAAGGTATCCCCTGAATGATGTTCTTGCAAAATGTACCAGAATTTCAAACGGCAAAAGGTGGTGTTTTACAATAATACACGATGGAACTAATGTTGTATGAGATGGAATCAGATAAATTGAGTGGAGTGTACCGTACATCCAGTACATTAACAGATAAGTGCCACATCAACGCAAAGCCAAATATAATTGACCACAGGTCAGTATAACAGATAATATAAATTAAAGGGACGCTTACAGAGTAGGTAGATAGGTAATAAACTTACCGGTTTATGTTTACTGCGTCTTAGTTCATGCAAAATGTACCTATAAGTAAATTAAATTGTTTCGCATGCTTATCAATTTTCTTTAATTACACGTCATTGGTAGATTGAAGATTATAATATATATATTTTTTTATTTAAAACACTTATACCACATCAACCACGCAGGGTTATTAGTGGCATGACAAACACAATAGTTTTAATACAATTATGTACATTAAATAGTAAAATACAATTTGATGTCTCTTAAATAATTTAATACATTTAAATTTTTTTCTGTCAAGATGGATTTGAGGTCGTCTGGAATTCCATGCATTCTTCTTTGATTTTGGAAACATGGGCAATCAAGCAGGAAGTGTTTCACTGTCAATGAAGTGGAGCAGTTATTGCAAATTGGCGGTGGATCTTTACTGATTAAAAATTTGTGTGTGACAGCAGTATGACCAATTCTTAAACGGTTTATAATTACTTGATCTTGTCTACTTGTGGGGTTATTCAAAGAGCTGTTCACCTTTGGGCATATTGGGTTTAATTTGGTTACTGAATTTTCCCAGTAATTTTGCCAAATGTTATTGCAATGATCTTTAATCAGATGTTTCATGTCGCTATAAGGATATTTTGTAATTTTTGTAGTATCTTCCTAGTTGATACGGCTTGTAGTTGCTAGTTGATCTGCTTTTTCATTTCCCCAGATTCCAGTATGCGATGGTACCCAAATGAAAGCTGTGTCCTTTCCCATGGAATGAAATGTTTCTAATTCATTTTTATTGCTTGTATAATGGGATTTATTGTATAAATTTTCTTTATTTCAATAAAGCATTAAGTGAATCTGTAATGATGACGCACTTCATCTTGTTACTCGTTTTGAAAAAAGTTAAGGCTTTTAATATAGCTGTGGTTTCGCCTGTGAGTATACTACAATTTGTAGGT